GATTAAGGGAATATAAGTGCTGGCCATAATGGCAGGAGGCAGGCCAGAGCTTGGTAACCATATACCACTGTGCCTCTCATTTATTTGTCTGACAAATAAATAATTATTTAATTTCTCTGTTGCTGCGTTGAATATTTCATTCCAGCTAAGCGTTAACCACAAGCAGGGTGCTACACTTTAAACCTAATAAAGACAACAGCTGGGAGAACTATCTGTCCATTTTTTGTGTGTTTTAGAAGCATTTGCAGCAGCTCAGGAATTGGGCCTCTAACGAAGAACTGAGATTACCGCATCTCAGACTTGGATCATCCACCCATGAAATTGGGAGGGGTGGAAATCACCTTGAATAGGGACAGGGAGCCCAAATATGGACACTGAATCAGCTCTAAGTTATTCTGCCAGAGGGCATGACTAGAAAAAACTTTTAAATTGTATAATAAAGTTAATACTGGACCTGTTTTCTTTTGTTTTAAAGCCAGAAAAGTCACAGCCTAGCCTTGGAACTTTTAAATAATGATTCATTAAAATACCTAACAGGCGAGCTTCACTGTCTTCCTGTTTCAAAACAGAGGTCTTTACATCGAAAAGCAGCAGGAGAGGGCTTGATCGATTGACCTCATTGTGTTTGAATTATTGCATGATGTGATACACTAAGAACCTCACTCCTCTCAAGGACATCCGTATACTCAGATACCACAACCAAAGCAGAGTTCACAGGAACCATCATTCAGAACCCAAACCATGCCTTGAGTTTCTAACTGCACAGCTAAACAATGATTTCGACTTCCTAATCTGCTTTCATTTTCTACCTTCTCAGTGGTCTATTCTGGAAGCAACTGCAACCATGGCGTGTTGATTCAGACACCACCACAAGACAGCAAAAACCAAAGGTAAAGGTAAAGGGACCCCTGACTGTTAGGTCCAGTCGCAGACGACTCTGGGGTTGCGGTGCTCATCTCGCTTTATTGGCCGAGGGAGCTGGCGTACAGCTTCCGGGTCATGTGGCCAGCATGACTATGCCGCTTCTGGCGAACCAGAGCAGCACACGGAAACACTGTTTACCTTCCCACCGGAGCGGTACCTATTTATCTACTTGCACTTTGTCATGCTTTCGAACTGCTAGTTGGCAGGAGCAAGGACCGAGCAACGAGAGCTCACCCCATCATGGGGATTCGAACCGCTGACCTTCTGATGGGCAAGTCCTAGGCTCTGTGGTTTAACCCACAGCGCCACCCTGTGACACTAATCCAACACTAAAAATTGTGACAGCAAGGACCCCTTCTAAACCAAGGATAGGCACTTCTCCATTTAGTTAGGCATTCAATACTTCCCCGGCTGCCATGCTCTTGTATCCACACCTTTGTAAGGCAGGAAGATGGGAGCAGAACAACTTGGCCCCTCCCATGTGACCTCCTTGGTCCCACACGTGAGACTTTATTGTCCCCCTTGGACACAGGCTGCCCCACCAAGCCCAGGGGCTACCAGCTGCCACCGACTGGCTGGTATTCTTGCTGTCACCATGGCAGCAGCAGAAAAGAAAAGAAAAATACTGTGTGGCCACAATGAATGGCTGCATGGGAGGAGCATGAGTCAGGTAGTGAGGGCCCTTAACTATGGTGCTGGTCTTGCAAGAACTCACACACATATTTAAATGAAGGTACATGTGAGAAAACGAAGGGTGAATGCACAAAAAGGGTATCGCACACACAAATTTGCATCCATGAATTCGGACAGAAAACTGCTTGTATATAGAAATAATCATTTGGACCAATTTTGTAGCTGAGGGTAGGGATGGAAGGACAGAAATTATATTTCATTGGCATCGAAACTATTAGTGTGCCTTCCCTAATTTAAATGAGCCCCAAATATGCTGCACCATTATAAGCTTTGTGAATTCTCATGGCAAAAAGCATTGCAATCAAAGCTGTGAGGAGCAACTTACATGCTGCGCATCTGCTTATTGGCAAGGGAACAAATGGTTATCCATCCATCTCTTTTTGCCTCGAGGATAACAGGGCTGGGGCAGAGAGAGGGAAGAAGCAATGTTAGTTCAAGGCAACCCATAATAATGCAAGTCCACAATACATTTCTCTCCCCCATGCACAGTAACAATCCAAATGTATTATTTAATTATAGCCAGGGTTGGGACAGGGGCAGGCTTTGGAAATCTTTCGTAATATGGCAACCCCAAATGGATCTTCTCAATTTTGGGTCTGCTCAATTTTGAGCTTCCTTGGCTCAGTGCCCTGTGCAGGGGATCCATTCACACCACCCTACATCCAACACTGGTTGGGGTACGGGGCCTGTGGGGCTGCTCATGTTCTCGGAGTGCATCTCCCACCATGGCTAACCGTTGGCCATTCTGGCTGGGGCTGAGCATGTTAAGAGTCCAGCAACTGGAGAACCACAGTTCCCCATCCTGGAAATGCAAAGGGAATAACCCTATATCGAGTTGCACAGAGGAACTGAAGGAAGCAATAAACACACTTACCCATCAATAAAATCTGTGTTAAAGCTGTAGGCATCAAATTCTTGGGCCAGGATAAAACCATAGACTTGCATTACATTTCCTAACAGGATAAGGATGGGGGTGGGGGAATTATTCAAAAGGCAAAATGAAAATCTGTGTAGAGGAAGACGGGGAGTTGGGTTTTACTGCCTTGATTTCTTCAGTGCAGTAGAAGATGCCCTCTGTAAGTATTATAAATCTAAAAATTATAAGCAAGAATCATAAAGAATAATACATAGATAACAAATTCTCCATGGCTGGTGTTAAGAGGAGTCAAAATTGTACTATTTTTATGTGGTATTTGTTAACATTAAAACAAAAGAGGTCAATACATTAGTCAGCATTATCCTGTATCTTATTTCAGGTCAGCATTATAACATTATATATAATTTTAAAGTTAACTCAGGGTTGCAGCATTATAATATTAACCTAAACTGCTTCTTAATATTATTGCCTTAATTGCTGTAATGAGCCTAACTAATGTTAATGACTTCGAAATAGCTTGGAGACACAATTCAGGATATAGCATGTAGGCTTATGCGCATTTAAAAAATCATGGGGATCGGAAGGTCAGAAAATCGTAATAATAGCCTGAAATAAGATACAGGAAAACACTGTTCATTGTTCTTTCTGGTATCTGCTATATTCCCTTATCTTATGCTCCTTTTTGTGTATAGGACTCATCAGCCCAGGAATGTAGACCATCCAAAGAGAAGGAAGACTCTTAAAAGCTCTTGACAAGTAAATCATAAATAAGTTGTTTTCCCCATCAATTGTATAAAGAAAGACATACGGTCTCCACGTTAAGGTCCATCCTTTACCTGGGACTCCATAGGGGGGGTCCACACGATAGACCACAGGAGTGTGTGCAACAGAGAACTGTTAAGAAAAGAATATATATTATATTACATTCACAAAACTATTGTTTCATTCACAGTTTTGGAGAGAGAGACATCAGTGTACTCTTGCCATGTAGTAGGAATACTCCACTTATGTTGATGGTTGTCTGTATTCTGCCATTTTTGAAGAAGGACAGAAAAATCACAGAATTAAGTATTAAGCCAGGGGTCAGCAAACTTTTTCAGCAGAGGCCGGTCCAATGTCCCTCAGACCTTGTGGGGGGCCAGACTATATTTTGGAAAAAAATAATGAACGAATTCCTATGCCCCACTGTGGCGTTTGCCTCCTAGGTGGGTCATAAGGAAAGGGTTAAAGGAGTGTGATGTGATTGGCCAGTGAGAATGCAAGGGAGGAGTAAAAATTAGAGTGGGAGGTTCTGAAAGTCAGTTGAGGTTTGGGAATTGGAGAAGGAAGAGGGAGGAATAGGCAGTGGGTTGGTCGAGTTGTATTGTGAGAGAGTGAGAGTAATTGTCAGGTGGAGTTAGATAGATAGTTGGAATAATCAGTTTTAAAGTTGTTAAGAACAGATAAGTCAGTAAGAAACTAAGATTAAGAAACTGCCAAGAAAAATGAACTGAAACCATAAGCTTGTTCCTGCATTTAAAAATAAACTTGATTATTTGTTAATGTTAACATCTGTCTGGACTCCGTGTGTCCCCGTGAGAAACGGGGTGGTGGCAGTGAAGAAAGCAATCTCAATGGTGGCACAGGGTCAATAGACCGTCAAACATCTGGGGGCCCTGTGTGATCGCCACACCCACAAATAACCCAGAGATGTATTTTAAATAAAAGGACACATTCTACTCATGTAAAAACATGCTGATTCCCGGACCGTCCACAGCGCAGATTTAGAAGGCGTTTGGGCCGGATCCAGCCCCCAGGCCTTAGTTTGCCTACCCATGTATTAAGCTAATTTATTACGGATTGCTGAGCCAGAGCAGTGTCTGGTGATGCAGTGCCTCAGAATTCCACCAGAGGGCTGTGACCTTTCTCTGATTGGCTACCAAGGCAGCCAGCTGGTGAGGGGTGGAGCCTGATTTGATACCCTAAGACAGGATTCCTCAACCTTGGCCCTCCAGATGTTTTGAGACTACAATTCCCATCATCTCTGACCACTGGTCCTGCTAGCTAGGGATCATGGGAGTTGCAGACATCTGGAGCGCCGCAGTTGCTGAAGCCTGCCCTAAGGAATTCTGCAAAATACTGTACAATCCTAACATTTTTTCAGGCTGCTTTTTCAGTGCCACATCGCTTAGACATTAGATATTTTTCTAGTTTTGAATATTTTGAATGAATTTTTGGTTAGTGAATAAAATCCTGTCTCTTTCCCAAACCTAACTTCATCCAGTCACTTTGCATTCTGATACTTACTGGTATTAAAAGCAATTCAAATATTCTCACCTTTCTCAAATATCCAATATATTCATATCCTGTTTTTCAATTATCTATGGTCCACAATTATAATAAATTATTCTTGAAATATGTATCAGTGACCTGTTTGTTAAATGTTATAAGTGACATTCGTTCCCACAAATCCTCTGGGAAGAAGCCAGCGAAGGAGCCATGGCTCGACCAGAACACATTTTGGCTTTTAATTGCCCCTCCTCTTTGCTTTCTCAGAAACCTGACATTTTTTTGCCAGCTGGATTATAGGCAATTTCCTCTCCACAAACCCAGTAGTCACTTTTAGTGTATATTACTGATACCATTAGCAATACGGCCTTTCTGTGGTGTGGAGAATGGTAAAATTATTTTGGAAGGCCACTTGTAATTGGAGCCTTAATTTACCTCTAATATCTGTAACTGCATTCAGTTCATTTTCAGGCTTTCTTTTATAACAATTTTTATTGAGAGTTTCTTTTACAACAATTTTTATTGAGAGTTTTCAACATAAGATACAATAAAAACCCAAGTAATCTAAAATAAAAAAGAATGAAAAGAATAATAGAAAACAAAGGAAGAATGAAAAAAACCCAATGTGTATATATAATATTAAGCCCTCTATCACTATACCTTGATCCTTATTCCACACACAGAAGACTGACCCCTCCCAGCTCCAACCTTCTCCCTTTTCCCTCAGCCTCACACCCTGAGAAAACATCTCTGGCCTGCCTCTCCTGCGGGTTCCTTCATCCCCTGTCCATCACCCATCCTCATCCATTCCAAATACAAATGGCATTTTAATATTTAGCATTTTTATTATTTTTGTTCCTAAAGTTAACCTGCAAAGATACTGGAAAGACTGATGTCTATCAGTGGTGTATAGAAAATGCTGTTTGTAGCTGAACAGCGTAGATGATGATTTCAGGAGTTAGTCACTGGATTAAAATAACCCTTCTCTAACTACAGAGCTGCAAATAAAACGTTTTAAATGTGTTGTAAAGTGCAATATACAAATGTGACACTAGATGGTGAAAGTGAGTTGTGCAAAATTCAATGTATTTTTCAAAACCTTTTTTTAAAAAAAGTTGTTTTTTTCCCACAGAATTTTTTATATGTGTGTAGATTCCACCAAGGGTCGTCTCTCCCCCCAGGTCAGTCAAGTGCGGTGGTAGGGTGGCAATGGGTAGGGGTGGGCGAGGCGGAGCTGCTTGTTGCTGCCCCCAGTGCTGGGCCTGGTGGCAGCCTGGGCCTGACTCTGCAAGGCGCAGCGTGCAATCCACCCCAGCGCCTAGTGGATCAGGCCCTTTGGATGTTGTCAAGGGACGCAGGGCCTGCCGGCAGTGTCGACCTGGCTCTGCAAGGTGCAAGGTGAAGTCCACCCCAGCGCCTAGCCGAGTGGGGGCGTCTGGTGCTACTGACTTGCATCTAGTAAATAACTGTCTACTCAGAAGAAAGTTGCACTGAATTCAGTGGGCCTTACTCCTAGGTAAGGGTGCAGGCGGCTATAGTGTTTCATCTAGGCAGCCAGTGCTCCTCCGGATAACAAAATCTTTTTGCACCAGATCAGTGAGGACAACTTGCTTTTAAAAATTCTCCCATATATACAGAATTCCCTGTGTGCCTTTTGGACTGTATCTGTAGGTTTCCCCCTCTGTGTCAAATCACTGGGGTCAAGTAAGTGTTGCTTACTTTTTACTATGGAAGATGAATCTTCCTCAGGAGGTTCTGGACTCTCCTTCTTTGGAGGCTTCTAAGCAGAGGTTGGGTGGCCATCTGTCATGGATTCTTTAGCAAAGTTTCCTACATAGCTGGGGTTTGCACTAGGAAGATGATTCTACGTTTTGCTGCTTCAGCAATATTTCATTGTGTTCCTATGGTTTTATGTAATTGTACTTTGTATAATTTATAAAAATTATAAATAAAACTTCTATTTACTAAGAAAACATTTCTACCAGTAGGACAGGAGGGGGCATAGGCGTAGCCAGGATTTTTGTTAAGGAGGGCATAATTTGCATTGATTTTTACTTGGGGGGGCAGTTGTCCCCTGCCTCCCTTGGCTATGCCCATGAGGGGGCACAGGAAGGAAGGAAGGTCGGAAGCAGGCTATGGTCAGAATAAGGTAGGGAAACACTGGTTTAACAAACCAACAAACAAACCAACTTCATAACCCATGGATTTAAGAAAGTTTGCTGTGAAACTGACCAGAGTTTGTTTTATAGCTTGATCTCTGGTTCATTCACCACACTAAACACAGATTCTGTGAAGGCTACAGGTTTCACAAGAGGAAGAGTGGCAGAGAGAATGAGGTTTCATTTTGGTTCACTGCAACTCATGCACATAGCGCTAAACCAGGGGTCTGCAACCCGCGGCTCCGGAGCCGCATGTGGCTCTTTTACACCTTTGCCGCGGCTCCGGGGCGGATACTAGTGAGGGGAGGAAGCGCATTGTGCGCCCCGACACTCCCCACTGTGGGGGGCGCTGTACTGGCTGTGACGTCGCATGGGGGCGGTGTGTGCGTTAGTCACGCACCGTCCCGACGTCACCTTTCCGCCCGCCCGCTACATTGTAAGGGGCATGTACGCTGGTCACTGCATTGATAGGGGGCATGTACGATGGGCACTGTTTTGAAGGGGAGTGAAGAACACACACACACAAAAAAGTAACTTGTTACTTTAACGTTTATTTCTATGAGGAGGAGTAATTCTGAGGGGTCAAACAAAGAAATAATAAAAAGTGACAAAAAAGTTATTTTTATAATGACGAGTTTTGCGGCTCCCAGTTTTTTTTCCTTCGGAAATGGGTCCAAGTGGCTCTTTTTGTCTTAAAGGTTGCAGACCCCTGCGCTAAACCATAGTTTAGCATTACACCGAATGTAGCTGGTGGCATCTCTACACTGACAACATGAAAGCAATGGCTTGTGGACTCTCACTCCTTGGAGGTTTTTAAGCAGAAGTTGGATGGCCCTCTGCCATGGTCACTTTAGCCTAGATTCCTGCATTTCAGGGGGTTGGACTAGATGACCCCTGGGTCCCTTCAAGCTCTAGAATTCTATGGTTCTAGATACAAAGGGATGCACACACATATGTATGCAACAACAGCAGCAAGAATACTGATTGCAAAGTATTGGAAAACACAGGATTTACCCACCCTGGAAGAATGGCAGATGAAAGTGATGGACTATATGGAATTGGCAGAAATGACTGGCAGAATCCGTGACCAGGGAGAAGAGTCGGTGGAAGAAGACTGGAAGAAATTTAAAGACTACTTGCAGAAATACTGTAAAATTAAGGAATGTTAAAATGATGTTGGAAGGAAAACAAGTGGTATTGGTAAAAAGTTGTTTTTTTTAAGAACATGTAAGTATGGATTGATAATGGTTAAAATATATATTTACAATAGGTGATGATATAGAGTTATGAAAAACGACAGAGGGTAAGGATTTGCTGAAAGGACTTTTTTTAAATGGGAATACAAAAGGGGAGGTGTGAGGAGGTCAAAGAACCAAGGAAATAAGATAAAGGATGACTGAAAGATTGAGTTAATCTTAAACTCTTTTTGTTTTCTTTTTTATATTTAACTATTGTCTCTTTTTTATATATTCACTTTTTTATGTGTGTGTTTTCTATTTTATTCTTTTATCTTTTTTAGACTGTTATAGTGACTTTTGTGAATCGTATTGTCGAATTTTATGTCTGTTTTTTTAAAATCTTAATAAATATTATTTTTTTAAAAAACAAACAAAGGGATGCACACAATCAGTTGTGAGATCAGGGATTCTTTACAAATTGAAAGCAGGTTTTCCATAAGCTTCCATGATCTAGCACAACAGAACTGCCTTCCTTTACAGACTCTGCCTCTTGCACTTCTCCCGCTAAGAGGAAGGTGAAGCAATCGGAATACTTAATGAATCTTCTCCTCTTCATGCTGATCATCAGAGGCACGAGGTCAGCCTCTGACTGCGCCACTGGGCACAAGCTGTGGGGAAGCAGAGGAGGAAGCGCAAGGAGAGGAAGGCCGTGGCCGCCAGCTGCTTGGAATACCTTCCGCAGGTTTCTCCAAACCTGTCACAGCCAGCAGCTGTCTACGTTTTTACAACTACCACAGAGAGAGAAAATTAATTTTTAATGCGCATGGCTCACAGGTTCTCGTGCCCCCAAACAAAGAGGCAGTGTGTTTTATTTCGCTTGGAATGTGTCTCATTAACTGCATCCCCTGGTGGTTTTTCATCAGCTCTCTAAGCTAGCTGAACTCCCAAACAGCACCTTAGCTTTAATGTGCAATTTGCTGAAACATGGGACTCCTCATGCTCGATGCTGCAGAAAACCCTTGGTTGCACCTGTACACGACATGGTAAAAGTTCTGGCTCATTGGCGAGCAGAGACAGCTGAGTGAGCTCAGTGAGCAAAAGGCAAGCTTATTCTCTATTCCCAAACCACACATATCTCACCAGCCTTAGTGCCATTCCATGCTGATGTTGCAGTGACAGAAAGCTCATATGCACAACCAGTTTACCAAATATTCTTCCACACAGCACTACCGGCAAGTACAGAGAAATCTTCATTAGCTCTGGGCAGGATGACCCACAGAGAACATAGAGACAAGCAAACTGCTCTTGTCCCAGGGAACTGAGATCATTTGTATCAGCTTAGCAAGCAGGGGCGATTTTGTAAGTTCAGATTATGTAGTAAGACTGGTTGCCTGTTTCAGTTTGATGAAACCACAAGTGATGGGTGCTCTGGGCATCTTTGACTGGTCTTACAAATGTTGTGGTTGTGCCATGGCAAATGCTCAGAAGTGTATGCTCCTGAAAATAAGTCCCGGCTGTCACCAAGCCTGCATGTGGCCCTGATCACATGTTACACGCTAACAAACATATCAAGATGGAGGAGTGTCAAAAAGATACTTTTGTTCTCACTGGGGCTAAATGAATTGTCAAGTAAAAGCCACTTCCGCATAAGGAGGAGGTGGGGCTGTGGGCTTCACGGCCCCTCCACGTGCATGGGAGTTGGGGGGCCAGCCCCGTGCAATTGGGGGATTCCCGGCTGCGCCAATCGGGTTGGTCTGGGGGTGTGGCCTGCCCCATAAAGGCAGGACACAGCCAGGGATCTCCCTATTTGTCCGCCCACCAGCTGCTCCGGTTTTCCCACCCTCCTGCCCTCTGAGGTTTTCTTTCTTTGACCTTGCTATGGACCTTGCTTGGTCGCCATTGAGGGGCCTGGTAGGAATTTTCCCACTTGGCAAATTGGCACCAACCACTTGGTTTTCACCTACCTCGTAGCAAATCGTCACAACTTTCTGAGTATTGGCGGTTAGGCATTGGAATAGTTCTGTAGATGGAAAGAGGGGAGGTAGCGCCATCACCTGCCCCACATATAGAGGGGTAGTCCGTTAAAGGATTCCGGGGGGCGTGGCCCTGTCCGAAGCCTAGGAGGTGAGGGCCTAAGGCACGCCCCCTATCAGTGACCCTGGGGAGCTCCTAGTTGATGTACATTAGCAGGACTCCCCCTACTGGTGGTTAACCCTTCCCGGACTTCAAGCAGATGGGCTGGAGTCAGATATAGTCGGTTAGGTCCAATGCCTAAGCCAATACTGCTCATCACCTGTAACCAATAAAGTTGTGGCCTTTTTTAGCCCATTAACCTTAATAATTGTGTCATGTGTTATTATTTCTATCGGGGGGGGTCGGGAACTCGCCATGCAAGAAGAGTGTGATTGCATAGGCTGTATGAGAATGAACTGGGTACAGATTAAGCATTTGCCTCCTCCTGCACCCTTTATTCCTTCCAATCCATGAGAGCAAGTACCACTCCTATTCACAAGGTTATATCCAGAGTATGCCAATGTTTTCTTCCTCTGCCGTGCTTGCCAATGCCTGATGCTTTGCACCATCACTTGTACTGCAAAGCTTAGGTAGTCAAGGAGTTAAAGGACGCGTTCAATGTGCCATTGAGCCTGGGCATCTCATAAATGCAAGGATGAGCTAGGCTAAGGCTCAGAGCTAGCTCTAAATGTCCAAATTCTACCCTGCATTAAAATCATTATTTCTAACAATGTATTAAAGGCCCATGTCCCATGGCCTGGCTACTGGATTGCTGCTAATCACGCGTCCATCCCCTTGAATACATACCTGAAATGTGCAGTTGTCACAGTGCAACTCCTTCGTGTTGTTGACAATTTGCCCATTCAGAGTGAACTGGAGTTGGTAAAGTCCTCCCCACTGCGAAGCCCTTCAATGGAAATAATAAGAGCAAAGGATAGCTAGCAAGCAGCATGAGAGAGACTGGAGTCCACCTTACTAAAATGTAAAGCTTAATATTGAATCTGAAGAAAGAAACGAGGCAGCCATGATTTCTCCCACCCAGTTCCCACCCATCTTGTCATTAACTCCCCTGCGTCTTCTGTAGGAGAAAAACACACACACAAAATGGGTTCAGAAGAGCAGAGAAGGAAGGCCTTGGAGGAGAAGACCATGGAGAAGAAAACATGGCTGCCTCATCTCCCAGGTGCTTCACTGATATAATATAGTCTGTGGGGAGAACCTAGGAAAGCTAATAGAGCCTGATCCTCTGTTGCGGGGGGAAGGTTGCAGGAGGGGATTGCAGAATAGGACTAGGTCTGTTACGGCAACTTCTGTTTTATGCTATCTGAGAACCAGGACTTTTTAAACTTAAATAAAGTTCAGTTAACTCCACCGCCACCACTTTGCAAATTCAGGTGGTGATATAGGGTTTCCACCTTTTTTTCTAGAAATAGGGCTGTGTCTTTCACAGTTAACGGCATGTAGTCACTGAACGGGTAAAGCTTTTCCTCAACAGATGTACAGTAACATGAAAATCTTCACCTTCTGGATTGCTGCTCATTATGTGACTTTTAAAAGAAAAACTGCTCTCCGAGAAAAACAGTGGTGTGATATTTTTACTGGAGGGTTGGGAGAGGGGAGTGGGGAAGAATAGCACAGGAGACAGCTGCAAATTGCCACCCAAGTGCAGCAGGTCAAAGTTTTAACTTAGTAATAATTATCCAGAAACCCAGTCTTTAAACTTAAGCTTTTTTCTCTCTTTCTCTTCAGGGCACAGGTATGCGCCACACTTGTTAATCATTGTCGTTAACATTTTAAATTCTGATTTCCTGCTTGGCACTTGGTGAAGTCCTTGTTATGGTCTGGAATATAAACTAATGCTACTTTTCTTATAACTTTTCTCATCCACATATACTTTTCCTATTAAAGTCCCTGTCCAATAAAAATTAATAAATTCACAACCAAGGCATAAAAGCGGGGCGGGGGGACATGACTCTTGTTGGTGAATCTTTCTAATATTACAGCTACACTAGGGTGTCAAGCATTTTGAAGATATAAATAGACTTGAAATGTTCTTTAAACGGAAAGACGGAAAGACAATGACTTTTGCTTAATTAAAAACTGAGAGGTAACGAAGTATTTGTTACTGAGCTGGTGCTTCAAGCAAAGGCTGGTGCCAAGAGGCCTGCAATAAGCCCTGAAGAACAAGTTTATTCAGGACTTTTTGAGTAAAAAATGAAATGCTGGAACTCTTATCTTAATATGCTAAGGGTGTTAGCATAAAATGGCAGCAAAAAAAGAAGAGGTGCTGATATCAGTGAGTATGGTCACACAAAAAGCACTGAGGTTTAATAGATATAGACAGACAGAGAGATATTCTATCCTTGAAACATGCCCATGGTAGCTGACAACAGTATAGATATATAGAAAATTAACAGTACAACCCTATGGTATATCTTCAGAAGGACTGCAACTGAAAATAACTATAAATGGAGAAATATCGCATAAAAAGAAAAGAAAAATCAAGAAGTGGAGTTAAAGCATAACAAAAGAGCAGGAAAAATGTTAACACCATAGCAAGACCATCCAGGGTTGCCATATTCTGAAGAGCAAAAAAGAGGACATTTGCCGACTTCTACTTGGAACTATGGATCGCTATGATGATTCTAACCATGAAAAAGAGGGCGTGTCCTGGAAAAAGATGACATATGGCAAGTAATCCTGCAGGCCCTATAATATGTCTGTCTTTACTGATGTCAGTCTAGCTCTAGTGGTGTAGTTTTCTGTTTTTATGGTGAATTTTTATTGTTTTTATCCTCTACAAGTTGTTGGGGGTTTTTTTACGTTTTTACGTACACCGCTTAGAAATTCTGAAAAGCATGCTGTAAATAAATATATAAAAAATAAAACCCTGGGCAAGGACTTCTGCATGCACAATGGGGCCTTCTCCCCTCCCCCTCCATGCTGCCTCAAATTGGGGGCTGTCAGGAGAACCCCAGAGCAGCATGCAGCAGGGGGAGAGGGATCATTCTGTCTGGGAAGCCACAATGCTTGCCCTGATGGAGCAGTTGCCACAGGACAATGTTTACTTTCTCTTCATGCTTTGACAAGGTCCCGGTGAATCGTCGGTGGCACGTTAAAGGGGGCAGGAGGCAGTGGATGAGGACATTCCCTGCTTGTGAACCTGCCTCCGTGTTGGGTTTGGATCTCTTCCTCCATGTAGGAGACTCATTGCTTGTTGCAATAAGATACACTTCCTGAATTGATGTTCATTACATTCATTAGTAAGGTTGAAGCATGTAAGGAATGTAGGTCCATTCCCACAACCTACAAGAGCACACTGTAAGGTAAAGGTAAAGGTACCCCTGCCCATACGGGCCAGTCTTGACAGACTCTAGGGTTGTGCGCCCATCTCACTCTAGAGGCCGGGGGCCAGCGCTGTCGGGAGACACTTCCGGGTCACGTGGCCAGCGTGACATCGCTGCTCTGGCGAGCCAGAGCCGCACACGGAAACGCCGTTTACCTTCCCGCTAGTAAGCGGTCCCTATTTATCTACTTGCACCCGGGGGTGCTTTCGAACTGCTAGGTTGGCAGGCGCTGGGACCGAGCAACGGGAGCGCACCCCGCCGCGGGGATTCAAACCGCCGACCTTTCAATTGGCAAGCCCTAGGCGCTGAGGCTTTAACCCACAGCGCCACCCGCGTCCCAGAGCACATTGTAAACTCACATATATCAACAGAATGCTTCCCTAACATGGTTTTGGGATGGTTTGAGTCCACTATCCCTTCTTGGCCCACAGGAAATATTTTAACCAGAAGGACAGATACATATATGTATATATATACAGATGTTGGGTGCCAAGTCCCATTAGACCCAGCCAGGGAGATGGTCAGGGATGATGGGGCCTGCAGTTCAGCATCTGGATGGCTCCAGATTGACTAATCTGGATCTCTGCTATTGTGCTCTGCCCCTGACAATAGCACTGCAAAGAACCTTCCTTACCTTGTTTGGCATTTTGTGGTGGACAGATCAAAACTGACAGGCTGAATGTCACACAGTACTGTAGGCAGCGCTGAATTCAAGAACGACACTTCCAGGTGAGACCAATTGATGGGATATGAGAGGCCTAATGGTGGGCAGCCAAACAACAAGCAAACAGAGCAACATTTTAAGGCACAGAAGGTGAAACGGGATAAACACTGATCTCCTGTCTGACAATATGTGCAGGGCACAGAGGATATTGTGCATAACAGCACCATCATATATCACAATCCAGACACTTCCAAGCCCTTAATAAATTATGTGCCTTTTCCAATTTACAATATCATTTTTGAGAAGAGGCAACTAGAACTGTACACAGTACTCCAAGTGCTGTTATACCATAGATTTGTAGGGCATTATGATATCAGCAGTTTTATTTTCAGTTCTTTTCCTAATTATCCTTTGCATGGAATTAGCCTTTTTCGCAGATCCTGCACACCAGGTCAACCCTTTCATCAAGCTGCTGGTCTCATTCCTGGTCAGAGACTGCCAGTTTGGACTTCATGAGCATATAGGGGAATTTAATATTTTTGGGGGCACAATGTGGATCACTTTACATATGTTTACAATGAATTTTATTTGCCTCTTGTCATGAGGATAAATCATCTTGTGCATCACTAATGGTGAAAGAGGAGGAAGCAGAGAATAGGGGGGGGGGGATGTGGCCAGTTCTCACAATGGAAGGATATAAGAAGTGGATTCTCCTAAGGATCTGTATTGGAGCATGTGCTTTTTAACTTGCTCATAAATGACCTGGAGCTAGGGGTGAGGAGTGAAATAGCCAAGTTTGCTGTTATCAAGGTGTTCAAGGCAGTTTTGAAAGAGAGAGAGAGAGAGAGAGAGAGAGAGAGAGAGAGACCATGAGGAGCTCCAAAAGGATCTCTCCAAACTGGGCAAATTGGCCATAAAATGGCAAACACAATTCGGTGTACACAAGTGCAAAGTGATACAATCTGTGGCAAAAAAAAAATTCTAACCTCACTTACAGGATCTGAAGTGGAAGTTACTGACCAGGAAAGAGAATTTGGGGTTGTGCTGGACAGCTCAATGAGGATGTTGACCCACAATGTGGCAGCTGTGAAACTGTGGGTTTCAAGTTAGGAATCATTAATAAAAGGGACTGAAAATAAAATTATCAATATAATAATGCCATTTTAGGAATCAACAGTGCAATTGCATTTAGAATACTTTTTTTGCAGTATTGCCCATTGTCTCTCACATAGCAGAGAATATCTTCTCTAGGATTATGTGGGCTGACACACATGAGCAGTAATTAAAGTGTGCTTCTTGCTTTAAAACTATTGTTTTCACCCACATGCAAATTTAATCAGCAGATTAATTGATAAATTACCATTGGTTGACAAAATCACACATGATTAATCTCAGTGGCGTAGCGTGGGTTGTCAGCACCCGGGGCAAGGCAAGTAATTTGCGCCCCCTAACCCTTGGACCAGGTAGGGGCAGAGAGCTGCGAGTGCGAGCACGCCACCCCCCCCCAGGTGCGGCCGGCCCCCCTGCACCCCCCACGCTACGCCACTGATTAATCTAGTAACATTTTCTTTAAAAAATTGGGTTGAGGTGCCACAAAGAGCAGCTAGTCTTATGACTGCCCTTTTTGTCTAGAAATACCACCAACAGTTTCTGAGGGGCCCCAGAATCTACCCTCATATCTCAGTGTGATCCAGGTTCCACCGCCAATGCTGCCTTCCTTTGGCTCCATGGTTAGCTTTGCCAACGTAACTAAAAAAGAACCACACATGCAATGAATTATATAATGGTTCATCAAATGGCTTTTCTTCTTAAAAGAACAATCTATTTGTAAAGGCCTTTCGGAGCATATGGATGCAGACTGAGCAGAACTGGGAGATCGTGAAAGGTTTGTGAAGGTCTCTTCCTATGAAAGAGACTCCTGCGTGTTCCATACCTCCCTCTGAAAAAACAAAGCAATGCTGGACAGAGCCTTGATGCAATGGAGGCAGCAACACTGGTTGTCTTTGCAGCTCTCCCTGCCACGTGGCAGGCCTGATTAGGAACCTGAACACATGCTTGGTCAGCTCCTGGGTGAGATATATGCCGTGCCACTCAGTCCAGTCCTTGCCTAGTCCATTTCATCAACTGCAGCTCCTCAGAATAAAGGTAAAGGGACCCTGACCATTAGGTCCAGTCATGACCGACTCTGGGTTGCGGTGCTCATTTCGCTTTACTGGCCGAGGGAGCCGGCATACAGCTTCTGGGTCATGTGGCCAACGTGACTAAGCCACTTCTGGTGAACCAGAGCAGCACAGGGAAACGCCGTTTACCTTCCCGCCGGAGCGGTACCTATTTATCTACTTGCACTTTGACATGCTTTTGAACTGCTAGGTTTGGCAGGAGCAGGGACCGAGTAACGGGAGCTCACTTCGTCGCGGGGATTCGAACCGCCGACCTTCTGATCGGCAAGTCCTAGGCTCTGTGGTTTAACCCACAGTGCCAGCCGCATCCCACTCCTCAGTATACTAAGGGGCAAAACAGACTTCACAGTGCGGGAGTAGGCACTCAGGAACAATCATGCCCATGGCCTTACGAGCCTCCCATTCCATAGTGGAACTAAGGCCTCAGCAGGAACTCTGGAAAGACCCCTGGGCAGGGGGTGGACCCAGAGCAGCCAGGAATCTTCCCAGCTCACATTTAAAAAAAAAGAAAAATATTTATGTTGGGCTGCAATAAGCAAAACACATACAGTGGTACCTCGGGTTACCTACGCTTCAGGTTACAGACTCCGCTATCCCAGAAATAGTACCTCGGGTTAAGAACTTTGCTTCAGGATGAGAACAGAAATCGTGCTGTGGTGCACAGCGGCAGTGGGAGGCCCATTAGCTAAAGTGGTGCTTCAGGTTAAGAACAGTTTCAGGTTAAGAACGGACCTCCGGAACAAATGAAGTACTTAACCCGAGGTACCACTGTACTGTATGCTATTGGTCACAAAAACATGCTTCAGCAAACTCAGAGATACTGAGCATCCCTTGAATATGCCAGCGTATTTCCTTATTAAAGAGTATTTGATCTAGTGTGGTATCATAATTGCATGTGCTTCAAAAGTAATTGCAATGGTTTACCGTATTTTTCGCCCTATAGGACGCACTTTTTCCCCTCCAAAAATGAAGGGGAAATGTGTGTGCGTCCTATGGGGCGAATGCAGACTTTCGCTGAAGCCTGGAGAGCGAGAAGGGTCGGTGCGCACCAACCCCTCTCGCTCTCCAGGCTTCAGGAAGCTAATCCGCAAGCCTGGGGAGCCCGCGGGAGTTCCCACCGGGCTCCCAAGGCTTGCGGATAGCAGCCTGTTCTGGGGACTGAGGTCGGGGGAAGCTTGGGCTTCCCCCGCCCCAGCCCCGTGCCTGTGGGGGAAAGTTTTTTTCTTTATTTCCCTCCCCCAAAACTAGGTGCGCCCTATAGGGCGAAAAATACGGTACTTCATGTTTTAGTTAACAACAAATTCTTTACTATTGCAACTGAATACATGATGAGGCAGTAAAGAAGGTCGCTAATTGGAAGCTTAGAATTTATTGTTATTATTATTATTTATTAAATTTGTATAGCAGATTGACTAAGGCAAGTTTGACGGGCCAAGCTGGTGACAGAATTTCTACAAAGCACACAGGCAAACTCTTATCTCTTTGCCACGGTGCTGATGCTCAGTAGTGCAGCTTGATAAGACTCACCTCCGAAGAAAAGCAGCAAAGCCTCAAGAAAGGATGGCATCCGAAACTCCATCTCTAACCTCTTCCTCTGCTTTCGACAATAGACTTTCTCATTGAGACCACTGCCTCATTCATAATCAGATGGTTGGTTCTCTCACATGTACTCACTGCAAAGGAAACATGTCTTATATGCTGTTTTTCTTTTTTAATACCTTTGGGGCAAACAGCTTGATGCCCAGAAGACATTTCAATACCAATTCAGAATCCTTCTTCGTAAGAGCATCTACAGACCAATTCAGAATTACTACATGGAACCAAAAAAAAAAAAAACAACAGCCTGAAAGAAAAGCTTTTGTGTTATCTTAATCAGAATATATGGGAGATGATAGATGATAGATAGACAGATGATGATAGATATAGATAGATGATAGATAGATAGATGAGAGAGAGAGAGAGAGAGAGAGAGAGAGAGAGAGAGATGATAGATAGATGATAGATGATACACAGACAGATAGATATCTGTTACCACATCCTTTGTATGAGTGTGTGTGTGTGTGTGTGTGTGTGTGTGTGTGAGAGAGAGAGAGAGAGAGAGAGAGAGAGAGAGAGAGAGAGAAGTCTACTCTGCTGGTAGATTTAACCTCCCATTTAAGGTGCTGTGTTTTGAGGCCA